ACAACCAATCAAAAATCGACTATGAATCAACATTATTTATATCCTATTCAACACACTTAGCGAATCACACCATCAAGATATGGTTGACAATGAAGACGATTCGGAGTATCTGTCATAGTAAAAGGCCACGAAATTAATGAGAAGAGAGAAGCGACAATGTGTTTTTTCAAGATCATGAAGAATAACTGGAGCACACTATTAGATGTTTCATTGCGATAGATGGTAGTGCTCGATGGCAAAAGACAGATTAAGCAACATAGGATAATATGAGATTGGAGGCTTTATTTGTCTTGTTACAATTATCAAAGCTTTAAAATGTTGCAGTGTTATTATGTAAAAGTTCGATCGGTTTTCATTTGGAACCGTTGAAATGATTGGTTGTTTCGTTTCTGAAAGACCTTCATATTTTCTGACTCATCTGTACTCATTGAGAAATTTCGAAATTACAATCATCTATATGCATTCGTCTTATATAGTCTGCATTTTTTTTCAAAGAGCAGTTGTTTAATATAGAATACTGATCGAATTTTTCTTTTTCGACGTGTGTTGAATAGGATATAAATAATGTTGATTCATAGTCGATTTTTGATTGGTTGTCGAATGATTATGTTCTTGGTTCTTTGTAGATCAATTGCGTTTCAAATACATTATCTTTTTATCTTCATTTATGAGCGACAGTCAAACGCCAACAAAAGCAAACGACTGCGAAACAACATCTTCTTTGAAGTATGTATTGTTTCTCACATGAACGCTAAGGCAAAGAACACTACTTGCATATATTTACTTGACTTGCTATCAGGGAAAGAGAGAATTTGTGTGTGCTATGTTTGAGAATTTCCTAAGAAAAGGAGTGGAAAAAATAGTTTTTCCTCAGAACAGAGAAATTCGAAAAAACGATTTTTGTTGGACAGAAACTGCTAGAAAAATTGGCTTTCCGTTTCCAGTAAGGTACCTATAACTGTTGCTTGCTCAAAGATATAAGTCTAAATCTTGTACAGATTCGTAGGTCTTCGATGAATATTTCTAAGACGCAACTAATAACTGCTAAGTCATTATAGTCACCTCACGAGTAGGTTGATTTTCGAAACACTCGCGTATTGAACCGTTGATATTTGTTTTTAGGAATGACACTCACCAGAGTTCGAGCACAGACGTTCTTTCGCGAGAACGTAATGAGATCAAATCATCTTTGCCGCGAGACGAAACTACCTTAAGTCACTTGACAGAAGTGGTCGAGAATTTCGATCAAATGAACTTACGAGAACCACTTTTACGTGGTATCTACGGATATGGTCTCGAACGTCCTGCAGATATTCAACAACGTGCTCTTAAACCGTGTATTTCGGGTTCGTTTTCTACCATTTCTCTAGAACTGAAATTTGTTCATTAAATACTCATTCTTCTTAAAGGTTACGATGTGATTGCGCAAGCACAATCAGGTACAGGCAAAACGATAACTTTCATCATTGCAGTTTTACAACAACTCAACGTGGACTGCAAAGACTGTCAAGCATTAATTCTGGCACCAACGCGTGAACTGGCTCAAGGAGTATAGTTTTCTCTGGCATGTAATCTTTGTTTCTCATCAAATTCTTGATTCTATTTGTAATTTAGATCCATAGACTAGTTTTAGTACTAGGTGAACATATGAATGTGACATGCCATGCTTGTATTGGTGGTGTGAATATTCATGAGGATATGAAACGGCTTGAAGCAGGTGTTCAAGTGGTTGTTGGTACACCTGGTCGGACCTATGATATGTTAAAGAGATCAGCACTTCGTACGTGATTTATGTCTTATATGTGTCGCATTTTTATTCGCATTCACGGCGTAGGGAGTGNCTCTGTCACGGTTTATGATGGGGGAATTACCTGTCTGTAACGGAGAAATTACCTGTCTGTAACAGTCTGTGATGGGAGAATTACCTGTCTGTAATAGTCTGTGACGGGGAAATTACCTGTCTGTGATGGGGGAATTGCCTGTCTGTAACGGTCTGTGATGGGGGAATTACCTGTCTGTAACGGTCTGTGGGGGGGGGGGGGGTCCAAATTTCTACCCCTAAACACTTCAACACTCCTTTCAGATCGTGTTTCACAAAAAAGCGTATCCTAGGAAATTCTTAGAGGGTTTCCGAGAAAAGGTTTCCGAGTCCTCGGAAACCAATAAGCTATTTTGAAATATGCTTCAAGTTCTGGCAAACCCTTTTGCAAACCTCTAGAGGTTTCTGAATGGGTTACCGAGGGGTTTGGGTTTTCGAGGAAACGATTTTTTTTAGAGAGTATGCATCTTTAAACCTGAAAAATAATGGATAGACCAGTTTTTGTATAGCACTAAATTTGTCTCAGTTGTGAAATAATATTAGATACCTCTCCAGTTTTCATGAGTGATACATTGTTGATTCATTGTGATAGAACCATTTTTTTAACATTTCATTGTGGTATAGCAGAGAAACGATCATGCGTTGTTTCTTTTGTTTTGTTTTGCACCAGTGTTAATATTCATCAGAAAAGTATGACAATCGTGAAACTCTGAGTAATGCAATTGGAAAAAAAATATAAAGGTTAGTAGAAGTATGAATCAGTCATGCATTTTTGGACGCTCGCAGCGAGATGAAGGCTGTAAAATATTTATGAGAAAAAGATCAAATGCTAAAAGATGCACTAATGAAAATGTTTTTTCTGCAAGTTGGTCTTTTTTTATAACTATGAAACAGGCCATTTCTATAATAAAAATATGTAATCAGGCCTCATATAAATAATGAGTTATAGCAACAATGCTTGTCATTTGAATCGTTCGAAGTCAACTCTGTTTACAAGTGACTGCTATAATCTCTTTGAGCATTCCAGTCTCCGAAGCTTCTTAGGTAAAAAACTTCTTCGGTATGAACTAATTCGTCGTTTTTTTTCGAATATTAGTAAACAGGATTTCATTATTTTGACATAAAACCATGGTATCGAATACAGTGCTCTTGATTAGTTCCATTGCAATTCTTTTGAGCCTCATGGTATTAGTCGTTCCAGCTGTTCTTTCGACGAAGAACAATAATGCAAGAAATACAGCAGATATTGTTGCATCAATAAAAATAAAACATCGATTCATTGTTTGTTTCTGGAGAAACAATATGAATTAGAATCATCCAATTAGTTCATTCCTATCAAACGATAATTATTGAGTGCTTCAGCGTCTAAGAATAGAAGTATTTCTTGCAGATTCCGATCGGAAGCAGAAGCTAATCGCTTGTCGTGTAACAGGGGAGTAAATGACCTACTTTTTTTTGTCAAAGGAAAATCTTAGTTCAATTGAAATTGAAATAATGAATTTGATCATCACTCAACTTATAAGGATTTTCTTTATGAACTCGAAATATAATATTCTTCTGATTTTCTTGAGTCATATCACAGCCTGCAGTGTCGCATAACTTGTCAGCACATATTGAAGTTTAAAATTAAACATTTTTATGGCCATAATCTACATCCAAACTGAAAGCCAACAGATAAGTTCCAGAAAATTTGATTTTCTTCTTAGTAATCAAGCGTTCAACAGAAAAAACTAGATTTTCTTTCTTTTCTCGATTCCATTACGACCGATTGACGTAAAGCTTTTTCTGACAACTAGATCCCTATTCGGAAGCGAGCTATTTTCTCCTAGTAAAAGTATTACAGTGGCGAACTTTTTGATAGATGTGATAAAATACATACCGAGTAAACAGTCATGTTTTTCTAGTACCTTGCGAACCTTGATTTTTCTGTGCCAGAAATACTATTTGTGTTCAAGATAAAGGACGCACAGCTCATTTTAGCACTACTTGTCACCAACAACTTTCAAGTCAATAGGTCATAGTGGGGAGAAGAGGAGAGACAAGAGAGAAAAATTGGGTCTTTTCAGCTTTCACGTCCCTTTCGTCTGTGGAAAGCAAGACATTAGAAACTTTGAGCTTTGGAAAACACTTCTTTTACTCGTGAGAATCGTCTGTTCTGGTAATGTCGATGGTCATTAGAAATTTTTATACGTATGGATGTTGCTTATTTACACAGAAACTCGTAAAATCCCGTATGGCAATAAAACACCTATTTCTACGAAGAGGAAAGCGAAAGACTGCATCTACAGTAGTTGCTGAAATAACTAGAGCATATATTGGTCGCTTCGGGAGGAGTTTTGTTTTTGCTAGCGGATTTTTGCTTTTTACTAGCAAAAATTCAGTTCTGCTTTTAATTTTCACCATATGATTCTGGCACATCAAGGGAATTTTGTGCTTTTAGGCACCTATATGCTGGCGTCTCTTCATCGAACTGCAGAAGAAGCCCATGAGATGTGCCCTAACCGACACGATTGCCAGAGTCGCCACTTGCAGTTTCGCAAGTTTTACATTTCGATACCAGAAGGACTTTGTCTTCTACATATTGGCGCATACAGGAAACACTTACATTGTCGAAAAACAGTTCAGAAGATTGTATTTCTTGCTGTTTGAATTGAAATGTAAACAAATGAGCGCATCGATTTCATCATTTGAATGGGACTATGAATCTAGGTGCCGATGGAGACTCAGTAATCTGAAGAACAGACCGAATTCTTCTCTATCTAACAAAAGCCCCTGGATGCACAAAACATCGAAGTGAAAACAAAACGCAGTCCACATTTATGCTAGAAAAATGCAAAACTCCACTCATAACAACAAAATTCCGCTCATAGCGATTAATATATGCTCCTGCTAATTTAGTAATGAGATAAAAGCTTTCGCTATACTGTTCGAAGAAACAGGGATTTTATTACCACGTAAAATTTTGCGCAACTTTATGCAAATAAGTAAATCTACATTTTAAAAAACTACTGGAGCTTCTGAAAATTTCAGAAAATTTGGTCTCGCTGTTCTTGAAGCATTCTCTGAGGAGAACACGATGAGAAATCTCCGTGAACCTAAACGAGTTAGCTTAATCTAGAGGATATCATCTTGATAGAAATTTGAAACGAGACAATGTTGTTTTCGGCGTGACTACAGGAATGACCTTTTCTTACGCCTCTTTGCTTTTGATTTGATCAACCTACACTTTCTCTAGTCGCTGGAATAACTTTCTATTTCACTCCGAAAGAATTCTTGCCTAATTGAATATTCATAGATACTCAGAAAAAACGACCTGCCTAATAATAAAACATTTTCATTGAGCTTTCCTTTACGTTCGATTTTCATATTGACTACAAGAATCAGGTTTTTAGGTGAATGAGTCGAAAATAGTTTATAGGATGACTTTCGATCCAACATAGTGTTTACTTTTCGACGCCGATGGCATAATACAAACGTACGAAAACTAGATCTTCCACACGCATTCTTCCTTATCGGGTTCATTCGAATCGACATCCTTTGTTGTTCAAATGATAATGTTGTTTTGACCTGCATTAAAGTTACAACACTAGAAAAACTTTCTTCCCGTGAGCATTAGTGGCGGGCAATCGTGATTAATATTGAACTCTTGAAATAAAATTTTTGGTAAATATGGTTATTCACAGACAAGTGATGACGCATGTATAACACCTTCTCAGAAATTGTCTTCCTTATTTACGCGTATTTAAGCGACAACAACTGCTATCACGATCGTCGAAAAAAAACTACGATGCCTTCTCTTACTACTACCAATACTTTAACCATCACAGTAACGACAAGAACGACAGGTAAGACTGAAAACTCATTGACCTATGAAACAGTTTTTGAAAAAGTCGTGAGAAATTTACTGAGTTTCCGGGTACAAAGGTTTCATTTTGTTTTTCTTTTTCTGCAACGTCGGTAAGATGCACATAGAATTTTAGTCATCAGTAATTAGGGGTGCACCAATTCCTGAAATTTCGATTCAAAGATAGCATTTTCGTGATATTATGAACGATCAATTCCGATCAAGTTTTCAACCCAGAATTTCGTACCGTTCTTGACTGTATACATTAAAAGAACATCGGAACTGATCGGAATGGACTGAAAATAGAAACGTTTGCGCCAAGTATCCGCTAAGATATTACTCTCCTCAAAGTTGATCATATGACGTTTTTCATGGATATTCCAGGAAACTCGATTAAGTACTAGTATAATAGGTATAGAAGACGCAGAAATTATAGAGATACATGATATATAGTCGATAAAGGACATTTACTCTTATGCCTCTAAATCTTCAATAACTTCAACATACTATCAAGTGAGTATAGCAATATATGCATCATTTTTATAAGTAGCAGTATGGATACAAAACATATTCAACATCTAACAGATAGTAGAAGTGAAAGAAATATTAGACTAGTGTTGGACTGAGCAACCAGATTGTTCGGATTTTTGAATAATTTCATCTGAAATGTCATGCATACCTTTGAGAAGCTCGAACATATGTGGCAACACACCTAGTGGACATCGCTCAGGCTGCGGATGCGATGAAATCTTGAACACAGACGGCAAGACATACCCATAAGCCTTTGTACTAGTAGCGAGTGAGAGGAAAACAGAAACAGGAAGCGTCTGTAAAGATTGCATAGCTCTGATATTTGCATAATGGATTACATGTAGTTATCTCTTTATGTCGAATGTTCACCTCTCTGTATATCACTTCTGTGATATGCTGGAGATAAATACATATAGAGAAATGCAGATGTAGAGATATAGGAGATAACTGAAATATAAAACTCAACTCCTCTGCTCATTAGAAGATCCCCTCGTCATAGAAAATCACCCTTGGAGGAATGATGTGCTGGATGCCACGAAGGCTTCTTTCATGAATTGATTTATTTCAGTATTCGAACTTGAATTAGTAAATTTA